TTTCATCTGAATCTTCTATTTCATCAAAAAGCATCTTGTAACATGCTTTAGTTTTTTCTGATCTCTTCTAGTTTAGTACAATTTCAAGTAAAGTTTACAAAAAATATAAATGTTTTAAAATTTTTTTTTCCACTTAGACAAGATCGCACTAGTGATCAATGTTTAATAAAGCTTCAATCTTGTAGAAGATTACAAATATATTACTATAAAATTAAAACTATAATTCTAACATCCTACGGCTACTCTAATGAGTGTCCATTGGTGACTTGCTACACCAATAAGATAAAATCAAATGTAATACTCTAACCAAAGAGCTCATCTGACCCACTGTCCTACAATAAGATATTGCCAAACTGATGACAACATCTTCTTATAGAGAAGTAAAAAAAAAAACTATATAAAAAAAAAATAGAGATATAGAAAGATATAATAAAAGATACAAACAAGAAAAGAAAGAGGTAAGAGAAAAAATAAAAAAAATAAAAAATATAAAATTTTTCATCTACACTGGATGGTCATAATTATAAACCTGTGTTGGGCTTTATAAAAATTATATACTACTATCTAAACTAGTCTCTACTTTAATTCATCTAATTAGTATATTTAAGCATAAAACCTTAAAAGAAAAAAATTAGCTTCTTTGACATCAGCACCTTATTAAAGAAATAGCCTACAAGAACAAATCGAAAAATCGACTCCTTCTACTAATACTATAAAGAGGTTAGAAGTTTGCACTGTTGGTCTCAAAGCATCATTTGTTTAGATTGCCACTTTCGAGGTATATAATCTATATGTCTACATTCTATAACTATTAATATGTTTGTTGTAACAGGAAAAAAGTAAACAATGCCAACCTATTTAATAAGTAAACAATATGTTGATTTTTTGGAGAAAGTAAACTAAATTGCTCACTTTTTTACAAAATTTTCTTTGAAAAAAAGTGAAGGGTCAATGAGAATATGTGAGGTTCTTCTTGTAAATTTTATAGTTGTATAGTCTAGTTTTTTAGTATTGACTCAATATTCCTAGCCAGAGACTTTTGCTTTACTTGTTTCTAGAATAAACCTTCTAGTTTGGATATTAAATGTGCTAGAGAGTCTGTTAAAGAAAGAAAACTTAGCCCAAGGCACAAACCTGTCTAATATTCTTATATGCCTGCTTCTTAATATTTCACATATTGTAGGCTTTGTTAACAACAAGTTTGCTTAACACAAATCAGGAATATTGTTGTGTCCACTATGTTGCTTTTTTATATTACTAACTGTAGTTCGGTAGATTGTTGTTGACTGAGTAATCATTGGAAAGAGTTGTGTTCTTAATAGATGCTTTAATTTTATTCATTAGTATATACTACAAAAATCTAATTATTTCCAAGAGCTTAAATACAACAATTTAGTAAAATTTAAAATATGTTAAAATAATTAAAATAATTTTAAATTATTTTAAAATAATTCAAATATATTCAAATTATTTTAAAATAATTTAAATATGTTCGAATTATTTTAAAAAATTCAAAATAATTCAATTAAAATGAAAAATATATAAATTAAATAAAAAGATTTTACTAGTCTATTAAAGTTCTTTGTATAATATATATTTCACTATTTTTGTAAAATTTTTGAAAATACTCTTTGTAATTAGCTAGTATATATTTTTCTATAGCTGACTTTATTTGATATTCCTCTGGATATATTTTATTTATAATTAATTCTTTTGCTGCTCTCTTAATCATATTGTCATAGGGTTAAACGATATAACTAATTTTATACCGAAAATCTAACCAGATACAGGTCTTTTAGTTACTCACTTTATTTAGTTTATTAGAACCGATAACGACAATAGATATAGATACAATTAATGTAAAAGCTTTCTTTCAGTTACACCCTTTTTTATAAAACAAGAATATATTCCTTCTTGTGAATTATCTTTCTTATTTATACATTTTACAGTATTGCGTCATTACATGTATGATCACTAAAACTAACAATTACGCTATTACATATATTAAAATTAACAAATAGTTAATTTTGACTTTATTATTACTCATCACTGACATAGTTAATGTTAAACTTTTTGCTGTCACTCACGTAATATAAGCTAGACCTCTAATAGATATTATCCTTGACATCATCAACAGCTTATGTTAGATTCGCACTTCACGACTTGAATTTTTTTACCTGATTTCTGGTGAATAGATCCTTTAACTCTGTCTCATCCAATTCTGCCCAATAGAATTGACCAAAATTACCCTTGTGCTTGACCAAATAAGGTCCCACCCATCAATAATCCAATTTACGAGGTGAATTGTTCAATATCAAATCGTATATAAGAACCAAATCTCCAGGTTGTATTTTTGAATTCTTTTCTTTTGCATGTCTATTGTGAAATTCTTTCCACCATTGTCTAACTTCATCTCGGTTTGTTCGTGCTTCTTTTAATTTTTGAATCAATCCCAAAATTTGTCTCATTTGGAATTCCAACAGCTCATTGGTGGACTATTCTTGTTTTGCCATAAACACCTGATAACTTTCCAGTACTAGTTTGATAGGATTCACAGCGTCACATCTATACACAAGACGGAATAGCAAGTAACCAAGATCATTAACTATCACATTAATCACCCAAATTGCGTCACAAAGATATTCATGCCATCGATTCTGACGTTCAACACAGGACTTCCTAATTATCCTTGTAAGTTTTTGATCCGTTCTCTCTGCTCGACCATTAGCTTTGGGATGGTATGCAGCCACAAAATGCTGATCAACACCCAACCTCGCAGTTAATTCCTCCATGATTGCATTCTTGAATTTGGTTTCATAATCCGAAATTAGCGCAGAAAAATAACCATGTCTAGTAATTACCTCTTCCCAAATAAATTTGGCAATAGTTTTTGCATTCTTTTTCTTTAATGCTCTTGCCTCTATATATCCTGTTAAGTCTTCCACAACAATTACTATATGTTTGTGTTCTGCAACAGTTCACGATAAAGGTCCAATACAATCTACATACAGCTTCTGGAAAATCCAACTGGTCGCTTGTATATAAATGGGCTTCTTAATTGATTTTGCCATTGTTTTTTGCAAATTTCACAGCTTGTGACATAGTTACATGAATCTTTATACACATTTCCTTCCGCCCATATATAATTTATTAAAATTTTTCTTGCTATAGCGTTAATACCCCTATGTCTACCTTCTTCTGCAAGTCCTTCGTGATTGGCCTTTAAAATAGTCATTTTGTCCTCATTATAAAAAATAATCCGTCGTGGAGGTCTTCCCTTTCCCCCTCTTTTGTATAATTGGTTTCTAATTAAACAATATTTCTTCGCCTTCCGTTTAAGACGTAGTATATTTGAACAATTTATCTTATCACGCCATGTATAATATTTGAGATAATACATTATTTCATTTAAATCTTCAACAATACTATTAATATCGTTTACTTTTATCAACACAGCATCCAAAAATTCTTCATCATTTCGTTCTATGTATTTGGGTGGATTTGGATAACATAATATTGCATCAGCATTCCTATGTTTCTTACTCAGCTTATATTTGACACGAAATTCGAAGGATTGCAGTATTAAAACCCATCTCATTAAATGGTCCCGAAGTTCAACTTTATTGAAGAGCCATTCAAGTACTTGATGATCCATATAAACCTCAAAAATTGTCTCAACGACATATCGCTCATTAACATTGCAACCAAATACTATAGTGAGACACTTTTTCTCAGTTACCGTATAATTTAATTTGTGAGTATTCAACTTTCGAGAATCGAATGAAATAGGTCTCAGTAATCTCTTATGATCTTCTTGTTCTAATACTACTCCCAATGCAGTTTTACTTGCATCCATGTACATTCTATAAGGTTTATTACTGTTTTTCGCAGAATTCCAATCTGGGGTTTTTAGAATAATATCTTCTGACAATTTTCTTTTCAGTATTTCGAAAGCCTCTTTTTCTTTCTCACCCTAACAAAATACGTCATTCCTTTTTGTTAGATTTGTAATCGGGCCAGCAATTTTGCTAAAATTTTTAACAAATCGACGATAGTAATTAGCAACACCAAGAAATGACCGCACTTCCTTATAATTAGTTGGTTCTTTCCATTCTTGTATCCTCTTTATTCGTTTCAGATTTAATTTAATTACTGCTTTACTAACAATAAAACTATACATATCTAACTCATGATATGCTATGTAGCATTTCTTTGCCACAAATATAATTCTAGCGTCTCTAAATTTTTTTGCTAATTTAACCAAAACCTTTACATGATCCTCTATACTTCCATTCGTCCACATTCCTACGTCGTCTTGATAAGCCGCACACAATTGTTTCCATTTATCTCCTCTCAAAATTAAATCCATCATTCTTTGATACGTTTCACTTGCGTTCTTTAACCCATATACATTACCATGTATCGAAGTACCTCCAAAGATGTTGCAACAGCCACTTTATCATGATCTTGATCCCTAATTTTAATTTGCCAATACCCCTTAAACGCATCCACATTGGAATACCAATTATGACCTACTGCTTTTTCCAATATGTTCTGTATTAAAGGTAAGGGATAGCTGTTTTTAATAATATATTTATTTAAAGGTTTCATATTTCTCACAGCTCTTATTTTATCTGTCCCACCCTCTTTCTTCGTCACAGGAAAACAATGATAGGCATACTGGCCAGAACCTTCTTCTAAAAGACTAAATTTAATCATGTCTTTTAAGTGGTCTTCAAATTCTTTGGCTTTCTCCAGATTATTAATTCGAATTGGTCTAAGTCTCAACGATGGGATTTCTTTTCCCCCAGTTCTAACCTTGTATTTAACTAAGTTGGTTTTGCCTAACTCAGACATATCAAAAGCAAATACTTCCAGCACCTCATTAATTAATGTTTCAATAATTATGGTTTTCTGTTCGACAGTAATATCAGACCCAATATTTAATATTCCACAATTCGCTTTCATCAATCTTCTAATTATCATAGGATTTAAATTATCTACCAACCCATTCCTTTCGTTATCAACCTTCCAATATACTACACAACCTTCATACTCCTGCAACTCAGTCTCATCAACCACTTTAATTTCTCTTACTTTAATATCTTGTCCATTATCTGATTGCTTTATTATTTTATCGAAATTATCCACCAGGGCACGTGACTCTAGGCCTATTCTTCTTACGGCCATAATCTCATTACTCTCATCATCTTCATCCTCAAATTCATATTCCTCCATTTCTTCATTAACTTCTTTTATCCAATTCGCAGGTACATGTGAGACAACAAAAGATACTATTTTATCTGGCCTAGATAACATGCACCAATACTCATTTCCTTTCCACTGCAAATCGCAATGTGCTTGTGCTATCTATGGCATTCCTAACAGGACTTCAAAACTTGCGTCCTCCATAACGTAGAATCTTTGAACAACACTTATACCATCCATTTCAACTTTTAAATTAGGGATAAATCTAATGAATCTACTCACACAGTTATTAGTCATTCTACCTTTACTAGTAACCTGTTCCTACATCAGTCCCTTTC